ATCGGAGAAGATGCTTGATATAGTTTCTATGCCTCTGAATCTGCAGAGGCTTGCTTTGTGCCCTATGATATGGTCAGTCTTTGAAAAGGTTCCATGTCAGGGTGAGAAAAAGTTGTATCTCATGGTTTTTTGATCGAAACTTCTATAGCTGTCTGTTAAGTCCATTTGATTTATGGTGTTGTTTAGATCCTTATTCTCTTTACCTATTTTTTGCCTAGATGATCTGTCCAGAGGGGATAGTGTGGTATTAAGGTCTCCAACAATTAGTGTGTTGCAGTCTATCTCCCCTATTTTATCTAACAGTATTTCCTTCACATATTTGGGTGCTCCTGTGTTAGGTGCATAGATATTTGTAAGCATTATATCTTCTTGATCTATAGAGCCTTTTACTACAATATAGTGTCCTTCTTTGTCTCCTCAAACAGTTTTTTGTTTTAAAGCCTATTTTGACAGAAATCAGTATCACAACTCCAGCTCTTTTTTGGTTCCCATTTGCATGAAAAACGTTTTTAGAACTCTTTACTTTGAGTCTATGTATGTCTTTATCTATGAGGTGGGTTTCCTGTAGGCAACATATAGAGGGTTTCTGTTTTTTATCCATCAGCCAGTCTGTGTCTCTTGATTGGAGAATTTAATCCATTAACATTCAATGTTATTACCGATGTTACAGGATATGTATGGACGTTTAAGTTGGCCATTGTCTTAGTTGCCTTTTATTTCTTTGTTTCTGGCTGTTAATTCTTTAGTTTTCCTGAAACAGTACTTTCTTCAGGGTTTCTTGAAGAGTTGGTCTGGTGTTGGCAAATTCTTTCAGGTTTTGTTTGTCTGAGAAGATTTTAATCTTTTTTTCCCCCCATATGAAGGATAATATTTCTGGATATAATAGTCTTGGTTAACATTGTTTCTCTCTTAAAACTTTCAATAGATCTTCCCATTCTTTCCTTTCTAGCATTGTTTCCATTGAGAGGTCCGATGTTAGCCTGATGGAATGACCTTTGTAAGTCACTTCTCTTTTTCTCTCTTTCCAGTGTTAGTATCATGTCTTTATCTGTGGTCTTCAAGAGTCTGGCTACAATGTGTCTTGGGGAAGATCTTCTGGGGTTGATTCTGACTGGGTTCCTTTGTATTTCTTGGGTCTGGATGCTTGAGTGCCTTTCTAGACTTGGGAAATTTTCTTCCTGAATTTCATGGAATAGATGGAATAAATTTTCCATGCTGTTATTACTTTCTTCACCTTCTGTGATGCCAGTTATTCTTATGTCAGGGCGTCTTATGGAATCTAGTATTTCTCGTATATTATCCTCATGTTTTTTAGTTATTTTCTCAATCTTCTTGGTGTTTGTTTTTTTGTTTTTTTTTTTTTCTAGGTTAGAGGTTTTATCTTCTACATCGGAGATTCGATCTTCTGCATGGTCTAATCAACTTTTAATACTTTCAAGAGAGTTTTTTATTTCCTGTATTTCAAACTTCATCTCATTCTTTCTCAGAGTGTCCATTTCTTCTTTCATATCGTGGAAGGACTTCTTAATCTCCTGAAGTTTGTTGTCTCTTTTCTGTTCCAACTCATAGAATTTGTTCATCATGAAGGTTCTAAATTCTTTCTCTGACATTTTGGTTACATCCTCACATTTTAGGAGAGATGAAGGTGAGTTACTCTGTTCCTTTTATGAAGACATATTTCCTTACTTGTTCAGACCTGAGGCTCTTCTCCTACTTCTAGCCATTAGAAGATGTATTCAATTTTGAATATCTCTTTAAAGAAGGTGAGGTCCTAGTCTTGGGAGCCTGGGAGGGGGCTGGGGGGCAGTCGTGCCTTAGCCTCAATTTCTCTTGCTGGGAAGTGAGCTATAGATGGAACAGGAGAACTCCTGCAGGGCAAGGACCTGTCTGGTCTTTAAAGAAGATGAGGTCCTAGTCTTGGGAGCCTGGAAGTGGGCTGGGGGGCAGTCATGCCCCAGCCTCAATTTCCCTTGATGGGAAGTCTGTGCCATATTTTTTCAATCCATTCATCTATTTGTGGACATTTGGGTTGGTTCGATGTCTACTGTGAAGAATGCCGCAGTAAACATGGATGTGCAAGTTGGAAAAACACCCACACATCCTTCCTCATCATATCGACCTTAATTGTTCCTACTATAGAGTTTAGCACACTGATTTGTTTTATAACTTGTCACCAGGTTTTCCCTTATATTTAGTATTCTGTTTCTTATTTCTTTCTTCTTTCTTTCTCTCTTTCTTTCTTTTTTTTTGGGGGGGGGAGAGGTTTTTGCTATAGGGTGTGTGCACTCACCAGAAAGAGAGAGACAGAGAGACAGAAATTGAGATCACCCCCAGGGGAGTGGCCATGCTGCAATCCCTCCTCCTCCATTCTCCTCTTGGGATCTTGGGATCTTGGGCATGCAGGCACTTGTGCCTGGCGTGAGTCTAAGCCCCCAGATCCAGGACTCGAACCACAGTGGGCTACATGGGAGTTTAGCAACATAGCCATTATGTTAACTGCTGGTCTGTATTCTTTCTTCTTGAGCCATGTGTCATCAGAGCCTATTATGCACAGTGCCTATAATTAATTAATTAGTTTTAATTGCCTATAATTAATTGATTATAACTAATTAATTAATTACTATCTACAGACACCCTCCTTTAGGAATCCATGTTACACTACTTCTCCCCTTGTCTTTTCTAGACATTTTTTCCCTTCCACCACCATTCCAAAGATGTTGGTGAATACCCAGACTCAGAGCAAAGCCATAACTTAAAAAGACTGTATCAACCAGATGTTCTTTTTCATACTGTTTGCAGGGGTAGAAAACTTTCTCCTGTGATGGCCTAGGACCAATATGAGGCCATCTGTCACCTCCCGTGAGATACTGTCATCATGATCTCCCACTTCTGAGGACTGCTACTTATGCTTATGCTATCCTGGATTACGAGTGTCCTGATTTGTTGTTATGTAATTTAACCATTTTGTGAATGTTCTTCTGTACACACTTGTAAAATTCTCATTGTGGCCTACAGGTGGCATATGGATAAAGCACTGAACTCCCACATGGCTGACTGTGGTTCAAACCTTGGACCTAGTGGCTTGAAACTCACACTAGGTGCATGTGTGTGCATGTTCAAAATCCCAGGAGGAGAATGAAGGTAAAGAGATCGTGGTGTGGCCATCCCCTCCACCCCCCCATTCCAGAGGGAGATGTCTCACATTCCTTCTCACTGTCTCTCTCTGTCTCTCCTCTCTGATGAGCACATTCCCTCAATGGGAATTTTTTTTTTTTAAACAAAGCTCCCTTTTTTAAAATTTTAATTTATACAGATAATCCACCTTGCCTGTTTGGACACCTCTTTCAAAGACATGGTCATGTATTTTGCGTCTGTGTTGATGGAGGGGTGGAACCCTCATTGGTATCCCTTACTCTTACTATAAGATAGTTTCCTCCACATGTGCAATCTCATCAGCTCAGGGGAAGTGGAAAGCATTTTCCACCTGTTCCTCTCACCTCTCAGTTGTCTCCTTATTTTACTGTACAGTGGCATGGTAGTTAAGGTGCTAGACTCCAACATGGCCAGTCATGGTTCAAGTCTGGGGCATGGAAGCTTGCTTTTCCACATTTTCTCTCTCTGTCTCTGGTGAGATGCATGCCCTATAGCAAATTTAACAATAATTATCATTATTTTTTAAAAAGAAAAAATTTGCACTGGGTATATGGGAATGAATGCCCAAAATTCCAAGAGGATTATGAAGAGAAAAGTGATTGCCAGGTGGTCATGATCACTAGGAGGTAATTTCTCAGTTTACCTCCCTCTTTAAGTCTTTCTCTGGTGAGTGCACAGACTCGAGAGAAAAATCAAAAATATTAATAATAATAATAATAAAGGAAAATAGCAGAAGTTCCAACAACAACAACCATATACCATCCAGTCCAAGGCTGGATACTCTGATAAAAATAGAAGAGATATTTATAGCTCATTTTATCTGCTCATTTGGTACATCCCTCTCTTGTTTCTTGTTTGATTCCCCTACTTTGATTTGTTTCAAGGTTTTTGCCATAGGGTGCATGTCTTCATTGGAGAGAAACAGAGAGGGGAAGGAGAGAGGAAAAAGAAAGAAAAAACAAGTGTACCTGGCTGAAAGAGGGGTGTCTGGCTTGGGAGTCCCAGGGCTGAAGATACGGGGGGCAGTCCTCCCTCGAAGTTCCAGGCCAAGGGGTCGAAAGATGGCAGTGTGGTGTGGTAGGACTGAGGGAATTCCTATGTATTAATAAGAGAGAAATTTAAAAATGAAAGAAGAGGGGAAAGAGAGAGAAAAAGAAAGAAAAAAAATTGTACCTGGCTGAATGAGAGGTGTCTGGACTAGGGGTCCTGGAGCTGAAGCAATGAGTAGCAGGTCTCCCTCGAACTTCCTGGCCCAGTGGTCGAAAGATGGGAGTGTGGTGTAGTAGGACTGAGGGTGTTCCGATGTATTAATCAGAAGGGAGAAATTTACAAATAAAAGAAGACGGGAAGGAGAGAGAAAAAGAAAGGAAAAAACGTGTACCTGGCTGAAAGAGGGGTGTCTGTCTTGGGGACTGGGGGCTGAATCTTCGGGGACCCCTTCTCCCTCGTAGTTCCTGGCCCAGGGATCGAAAGATGGGAGTGTGGTGTAGTAGGACTGAGGGCGTTCCTATGTATTAATCAGATAACAGAAATTTACAAAAGAAAGAATAGGAGAAGGAGAGAGAAAAAGAAATGAAAAAAAAAAGTTTACCTTGCTGAAAGAGGGGTGTCTGGCTTGGGGATCCCAAGGCTGAAGCTACAGGGGGCAGTCCTCCCTCAAAGTTCCTGGCCCAGGTGTCGAAAGATGGGAGTGTGATGTAATAGGACTGAGGGCCTTCCAATGTATGAATTAGAAGAGAGAAATTTACAAATGAAAGAAGAAGGGAAGGAGAGAGAAAAGGAAAGGAAAGGAAAAAGTGTATGAGGCTGAAAGAGGGATGTCTGGCTTGTGGGTCCCGGGGATGAAGTTATGTGTAGCAGGCCTCCCTCAAAGTTCCTGGACCAGTGGTCGAAAGATGGGAGTGTGGTGTAGTAGGACTGAAGGCATTCCAGGCTGAAAGAGAGGTGTCTGGATTGGGGGTCCCAGAGCTGAAGCTACGAGGGGCAGTCCTTCCTAGAAGTTCCTGGCCCTGAAGTCGAAAGATGGAAGTGTGGTGTAGTAGGACTGAGGTCGTTCCTATGTATCAATCAGAAGAGAGAAATTTACAAATGAAAGAAGCGGGGAATGAGTGAGAAAAAGAAAGGAAAAAATAAAAAGTGTACCTGACTGAAAAAGGGGTGTCTGGCTTAGGGGTTCCAGGCTGAAGCTATGGGGGCAGTCCTCCCTCAAAGTTCCTGGCCCAGGGGTCGAAAGATGGGAGTGTGGAGTAGTAGGACTGAGGGAGTTCCAATGTATTAATCAAAAGAGAGGAATTTAAAAAAAAAAGAAGAGGGGAAGGAGAGAGAAAACGAAAGGAAAATAAAAAGTATACCTGGCTGAAAGAGGGGTGTCTGGAATGGGGGTCCCAAGGCTGAAGAACGGGGGGCAGTCCTCCCTTGAAGTTCCTGGCCAAGGGGTCGAAAGTTGGGAGTGTGATGTAGTAGGATTGAGGGCGTTCCAATGTATTAATCAGAAGAGAGAAATTTACAAATGAAAGAAGAGGGGAAGGAGAGAGAAAAAGAAAGGGGGAAAAAAAGTGTACCTGGCTGAAAGACGGATGTCTGGCTTGGGGGTCCCGGGCCTCAAGCTATAGGGTGCGGTCCTCCGTCGAAGTTCCTGGCACAAGGGTCGAAAGATGGGAGTGTGTTGTAGTAGGACTGAGGGTGTTCCTATGTATTAATCAGAAGAGAAAAATTTACAGATGAAAGAAGAGGGGAAGGAGAGAAAAAAAGAAAGGAAATGAAAAGTGTATATGGCTGAAAGTGGGGTATCTGTCTTGGCGGTGCCAAAGCCGAAGCTACGTGAGGCAGTCCTCCTTTGAAGTTCCTGGCCCGGGGTCGAAAGATGGGAGTGTGATGTAATAGGACGAGGGCATTCCGATGTATTAATCAGAAGAGAGAACTTTACAAATAAAAGAAGAGGGGAAGGAGAGAGAAAAAAAGCAAAAAAAAAAGTGTACCTGGCTGAAAGAGGGGTGTCTGGCTAGGGGCTCCCCAGGCTGAAGCTACGGGGGGCAGTCCTCCCTTGAAGTTCTAGACCCAGGGGTCGAAAAATGGGAGTGCAGTGTAGTAGGACTGAGGGCGTTCCTATGTATTAATCAGAAGAGAGAAATTTACAAATGAAAGAAGAGGGGAAAGAGAGAGAAAAATAAAGAAAAAAAAAGTGTACCTGGCTGAACAAGGAGTGTCTGGCTTCGGAGTCCCGGGGCTGAAGCAATGGGTAGCAGGCCTCCCTTGAACTTCCTGGCGCAGTGGTCGAAAGATGGGAGTGTGGTGTAGTAGGACAGAGGGTGTACCAATGTATTAATCAGAAGGGAGAAATTTACAAATAAAAGAAGTGGGGAAGGAGAGAGAAAAATAAAGGAAAAAAAAATTTACCTGGCTGAAAGAGGGGTGTCTGGCTTGTGGTTTCCGGGGCTGAATTTATGGGGGGCAGTCCTCCCTCAAAGTTCCTGGCCCAGGGGTCGAAAGGTGGGAGAGTAGTGTAGTAGGACTGAGTGCATTCCAGGCTGAAAGAGAGGTGTCTGGCTTGGGGGTCCCATTTGCTGATGCTATGAGGGGCATTCCTTCCTCGAAATTCTTGGCCTTGAAGTCAAAAGATGGGAGTGTGGTGCAGTAGAACTGAGGGCGTTCCTAAGTATTAATCAGAAGAGAGAAATTTACAAATGAAAGAAGAGGGGAAGGAGAGAGTAAAAGAAAGGAAAAAAAAGTGTACTGGGCTGAAAGAGGGGTGTCTGATTTGGGGGTCCCAGGACTGAAACTACAGGAGGAAGTTGTCCCTCCAAGTTCCTGGCCCAGGTGTCTAAAGATGTGAGTGTGGAGTAGTAGGACTGAGGGAGTTCCAATGCATTAATCAGAAGAGAGAAATTTACAAATGAAAGAAGAGGGGAAGGAGAGAGAAAAAGAAGAAAAAAAAAGTGTACCTGTCTGAAAGAGGGGTGTCTGGCTTGGGGGTTCCGAGTCTGAAGCTACGAGGGGCAGTCCTCACTCAAAGTTCCTGGCCCAGGTGTGGAAAGAAAGGAGTGTGGTGTAGTAGGACTGAGGGCATTCCTATGTATTAATCACAAGAGAGAAATTTACAAATGATAGAAGAGGGGAAGGAGAGAGAAAAAGTAAGGGAAAAAAAGTGAATCTGCCTGAAAGAGGGGTGTCTTGCCTGGAGGTCTGGGTGCTGAAACTACAGGGGGAAGTCTTCCCTCAAAGTTCCTGGCCTAGGGGACCTAAGATGGAAGTGTGGTGTAGTAGGAATGAGGGCTTTCCTCTGTATTAATATGAAGAGAGAAATTTACAAATGGGAGAAGAGGGGAAGTAGAGAGAAAAAGAAAGGAAAAAAAGGGTACCTGGCTGAAAGAGGGTTGTCTGCCCTGGGGGTCTCAGGTCTTAAGCTACAGGTGGCAATCCTCACTCAAAGTTCCTGGTCTTGTAGTCGAAAGATGGGAGTGTGGTATAGTAGGACTGAGGGAATTCCTATGTATTAATCATAAGAGTGAAATTCACAAATGAAAGAAGAGGGGAAGGAGAGAGAAAAAGAAAGGAAAAAAAGTGTACCTGGCTGAAAGAGGGGTGTTGGGCTTGGGGGTCCCGGGTCTGAAGCTATGGGGGGCAGTCCTCCCTTGAAGTTCCTGGCCCAGGGGTCAAAAGTTGGTAGTGAGTTGTAGGAGGACTGAGGGAGTTCCTATGTATTAATCAGAAGAGAGAAATATACAAATGAAAGAAGAGGGTAAGGATAGAGAAAAAGAAAGAAAAAAAAAGTGTACCTGGCTGAATGAGGGGTGTCTGGCTTGGGGACCAGGGGCTGAATCTTCGGGGGGCTATTCTTCCTCGAAGTTCCTGGCCCAGGGGTCGAAAGATGGGAGTGTGGTGTAGTAGGACTGAGGGCGTTCCTATGTATTAATCAGATAACAGAAATTTACAAAAGAAAGAAGAGGGGAAGGAGAGAGAAAAAAAGGAAAAAAAATGTTTATCTGGCTGAAAGAGGGGTGTCTGTCTTGGGGATCCCAAGGCTGAAGCTACAGGGGGGCAGTCCTCCCTCAAAGTTCCTGGCCCAGGTGTTGAAAGATGGGAGTGTGGTGTAATAGGACTGAAGTTGTTCCGATGTATGAATCAGAAAAGAGAAATTTACAAATGAAAGAAGAAGGGAAGGAGAGAGAAAAGGAAAGGAAAGAAACAACTGTACCTGGCTGAAAGAGGGGTGTCTGGCTTGGGGGTCCCGGGGCTGAAGCTAGGAGAGGTAGTCCTCCCTTGTAATTCCTGGCCGAGGTGTCCACAGATGGGAATGTGGTGTAGTAGGACTGAGGGTGTTCCGATGTATTAATCAAAAGAGAGAAATTTACAAATGAAAGAAGAGGGGAACAAGAGAGAAAAAGAAAGGGGAAAAAAAAGTGTACCTGGCTGAAAGAGGGGTGTCTGGCTTTGGGTTCCTGGGGCTGAAGCTACGGGAGTCAACCTCCTTCGAATTTCCTGACCCAGGGGTCAAAAGATGGGAGTGTGGTGTAGTAGGACTGAGGGCATTCGTATGTATTTCGGAAGAGAGAAATTTACAAATGAAAGAAGAGGGGAAGGAGAGAGAAAAAGAAAGGAAAGAAAAAAGTGTACCTGGCTTAAAGAGGTGTGTCTGGCTTGGGGGTCCCAGGGCTGATGCTGGGGGGGGGCAGTCCTTCCTCGAAGTACCTGGGCCAGGGGTCAAAAGATGGGAGTGTGGTGTAGGAGGACTGAGGGTGTTCCGATGTAATAATCAGAAGAGAGAAATTTACAAATGAAAGAAGAAGGGGTGGAGAGAGAAAAAACAAAAGGAAAAAATAAAAGTGTATACTTGCCTGAAAGAGGGATGTCTGGCTTGTGGGCCTCGGGGATGAAGCTACGTGTAGCAGGCCTCCCTTGAAGTTCCTGGACCAGTGGTCGAAAGATGGGAGTGTGGTGTAGTAAGACTGAAGGCGTTCTAGGCTGAAAGAGAGGTGTCTGGCTTGGGGGTCCTGGGGCTGAAGCTACGAGGGGCAGTCCTTCCTCAAAGTTCCTGGCCCTGAAGTCGAAAGATGGGAGTGTGGTTTAGTAGGACTGAGGGTGTTCCTATGTATTAATCAGAGGAGAGAAATTTACAAATGAAAGAAGCGGGGAATGAGCGAGAAAAAGAAAGAAAAAAAAAGTGTACCTGGCTGAAAGAGGGGTGTCTGGCTTTGGGTTCCTGGGGCTGAAGCTACGGGAGTCAACCTCCTTCGAATCGGAAGAGAGAAATTTACAAATGAAAGAAGAAGGGAAGGAGAGAGATAAAGAAAGGAAAGAAAAAAGTGTACCTGGCTGAAAGCGGTGTGTCTGGCTTGGGGGTCCCAGGGCTGATGCTATGGGGGGAAGTCCTTCCTTGAAGTTTCTGGCCCAGGGGTCAACAGATGGGAGTGTGGTGTAGTAGTACTGAGGGCATTCCAGCCTGAAAGAGAGGTGTCTGGCTTGGGGGTCCCGGGGCTGAAGCTACGGATAGCAGGCCTCCCTCAAAGTTCCTGGCCCAGTGTTCGAAATATGGGAGTGTGGTGTAGTAGGACTTAGTGCGTTCCTATGTATTAATCAGAAGAGGGAAATTTGCAAATGAAAGAAGAGGGGAAGGAGAGCGAAAAAGAAAGAGGAAAAAAAAAGTGTACCTGGCTGAAAGAGGGGTGTCTGGCTTGGGAGTCCCGGGTCTGAAGCTATGGGGGGCAGTCATCCTGGCCCCAGCATTGAAAGATGGGGGTGTGGTTAAGTAGGACTGAGGGTGTTCCTATGTATTAATCAGAAGAGAGAAATTTACCAATGAAAGAAGAGGGGAAGGAGAGAGAAAATGTAAGGAAAATAAAAGTGTACCTGACTGAAAGAGGGGTGTCTGTCTTGGGGGTTCTGTGTCTGAAGCTACGGGGTACAGTCCTCCCTCTAAGTTCCTGGCCCAGGGATCGCAAGATGAGAGTGTGGTGTAGTAGGACTGAGGACGTTCCTATGTATTAATAAGAAGAGAGAAATTTACAAATGAAAGAAGAAGGGAAGGAGAGAGAAAAAGAAAGGAAAATAGAAGTGTACCTGACTGAAAGAGGGGTGTCTGGCTTGGGGGTCCTGGGTCTGAAGCTAAGGGGGGGGCAGTTCTCTCTCAAAATTCCTTACCTAGGGGTAGAAAGATGGGAGTGTGGTGAAGTAGGACTGAGGGCGTTCCTATGTATTAATCAGAAGAGAGAAATTTACAAATGTAAGAAGAGGGGGTGGAGAGAGAAAAAACAAAAGGAAAAAAATAAAAGTGTATACCTGCCTGAAAGAGGGATGTCTGGCTTGGGTGTCCCGGGGCTGGAGCTACGGGGGAGCAGTCCTCCCTAGAACTTCCTGGCCCAGGGGTGGAAAGATGAGAGTGTGGTGAAGTAGGACTGAGGGTGTTCCTATGTATTAATCAGAAGAGCGGAAGAGAGAAATTTACAAATGAAAGAAGAAGGGAAGGAGAGAGATAAAGAAAGGAAAGAAAAAAGTGTACCTGGCTGAAAGCGGTGTGTCTGGCTTGGGGGTCCCAGGGCTGATGCTATGGGGGGAAGTCCTTCCTTGAAGTTTCTGGCCCAGGGGTCAACAGATGGGAGTGTGGTGTAGTAGTACTGAGGGCATTCCAGCCTGAAAGAGAGGTGTCTGGCTTGGGGGTCCCGGGGCTGAAGCTACGGATAGCAGGCCTCCCTCAAAGTTCCTGGCCCAGTGTTCGAAATATGGGAGTGTGGTGTAGTAGGACTTAGTGCGTTCCTATGTATTAATCAGAAGAGGGAAATTTGCAAATGAAAGAAGAGGGGAAGGAGAGCGAAAAAGAAAGAGGAAAAAAAAAGTGTACCTGGCTGAAAGAGTGGTGTCTGGCTTGGTGGTCCCGGGGCTGAAGCTATGGGGTGCAATCCTGCAGTCCTCCCTAGAAGTTCCTGGCCTAGGGGTCGAAAGATGGGAGTGTGGTGTAGTAGGACAGAGGGCGTTCCTATGTATTAATCAGAAGAGAGAAATTTACAAATGAAAGAAGAGGGGAAGGAGAGAGAAAAAGAAAGAGAAAAAAAGTGTACCTGGCTGAAAGAGGAGTGTCTGACTTGGGGGTTTTTGGGCTTAAGGTATGGTGGGCAGTCCTCTTCTGAAGTTCCGGGCCAAGGGTTCGAAAAGTGGGAGTGTGGTGTTGTAGGACTGTGGGCATTCTTGGCTGAAAGAGGGGTGTCTTGCTTGGGGGTCCCGATGCTGAAGCTACGGAGGGCAGTCCTCCCTCGAAGTTCCTGGCTCAGGGTCAAAAGATGAGAGTGTTGTGTTGTATGACTGAGGGCGTTCTTGTTTGAAAGAGGGGTGTCTGGCTTGGGGGTCCCAGGGCTGGAGCTACGGGGGGGGGGTAGTCCTCCCTTGAAGTTCCTGGCCCACGGGTAGAAAGATGGGAGTGTAGTGTAGTAGGACTGAGGGTGTTCCTGTCTGAAAGAGGCCTGTCTGGTTGGGGGTCCCTGGGCTGAAGCTACAGGGGCAGTCCTCCCTCGAAGTTCCTGGCCCAGGGGTCGAAAAGCCAAGGAGTTGTAATTACAGCCAGCATTGAATCATTCAAGTATACACAGGAAGATATTTAATGAAACATCAAAAAAATACACTAGTCAATCCTTCACTCCAACAAATAAAGACCCTTCTGCATGGACACCAATTTTCCATACTTCAACAAGTAGGTGAATGGCATGAACAAGAAACATGGTACATAGTTAATACAATGTATGATCAAAATGTTCACTTTAGCATGTTTAAGATTATCTCTGACTCTAAGGCCATATTTGTTCAACTATTTGTTTAGATTTACCTTTCCATATACAAAACATTTTGACTCAGGTAACTGATTTTTTTAAATTATTTATGATGAAAATGTGTTGGTGCACATGAGGTGAGACAGAAAGAGAGACCAAGAAGGAGACAGACATACAGAGAGAAAAGCACACTCACAGGACATTGGCATGTAGAGACTCTTTTCTTCCCATCCTACAGCACTCCAGTCCTGACCACACACCCATCCATTGAGATTTCAGGCTGATTGAACTCAGGACTTGAACCAGAGTCCTCATGTGGCTTCCAGCTCCATGCTCTGGTATGCTATGGTTTCACCACAGAGTTCAGGCCTGATCGTCAAGTTCTGACCATGATTACAGTAGGCATGTGGACTCTGAGCTGAATAACAGAACAGGATTCTAATGAGAGAATTACAGGTAATCAAACACACTAGTATGTTAAAGTCTACATTTCCGATGGAGATACTGGAAGCAAGGACAAACACACACATGAAAATTTACCATTTCAGAATTGCCTGGACTCTAAATTACATTAATGGCATTAGTTGCCAAATGTAATGTGTTTTTAGAGAAGAGTATGGAGAAGGATAGTAAAAAAACAAATAGGCATGACGTTAGTGGGATTAGGATATGATTTATTACCTGTTGACAATGACATATATAGAATTCTCAACTGGACAGGTCTTAGAAGTATTTCATGTAGGGTAAAGTCTTTTCACAAGCAAAATGTTAGTGACTTAATGTTTAAAAAATTGGAATGATAATAATAATCTGGGAAAAAAAGTGAAAAGCTACTGGACGATGATGATTGGGATTTTAATGTCTTTGTATTGACTGATATGAATGGTATCTTTTTGGAAAAAGAAATGTAATACACTATAAAGTTATATGTGATCCAATGTAATATAAACAATATTATGATAATAAAAAATTAAAAATAAATGTAATGTACTCATTTGGTTTTCTAGTTGTTTTTTTCTTGTCGCTCTCTTTTTGCATAGGCAGAATACAACATGAAAAGTTATTTTAGTAACCTTATACAAAAATTACTCAGAATTTTATACATTGTTTGAGAATACATTAATTTAAGAGTTGTATATAGGGGGACAGCAAGTGGCATGGTGGTTCAGAAACTGAACTCCCACATGCCCAATTATGGTTCAAGACCCAGAACTGGTAGCATGATTTCTTACATTCTTACTCTCTCTCTCTCTCTTTCTCTGGTCAAATAAAATAATAATAATCCAAAAATTAAATAAAAATAATTCACTAATAAATAGAATAGTTTTTCAAAAAAGTTACATATTGTTATATGATCCAATGATATTTATGAAGCATTTCTGATACAAGGATAGGAATAATTGGGAAAGCAGAAAGATATTAAAGAAAAAATTGGCTGAAAATTAGTATAGAAAGCTAAATGCAGTATTACTTAATATGTATACACATGTATTTTCACAATATGTTCAGAGAATCACAACTGTTGGCTCCAAGGCTTTAAACCCCACAATTATTGGCATTGTTTCACCTCCAGGCCATTAATTTTTTATCACAATTTCTATAGAAAGACCATTTTCAGAGTCCTCTTTATGTCTTTATTCCTCAGACTGTAGATGAAGGGGTTCAGCATGGGGGTGACCACAGTGTACATCACTGAGGCTGCTGCACTTGAGTGTGAGCTGTTGGTAGCAGCAGAACTAAGGTACACACCCATGCTTGTACAATAAAATAAAGAGACAACTGAGAGGTGAGAAGCACAGGTGGAAAATGCTTTGTACTTCCCCTGAGCTGAAGAGATTGCACTAATTGAGGAAACTATCTTAGTGTAAGAATAAATAATCCCGGTGAGGGGATCACCAGCCAGCAGCACAGCTGCAAAATAGATCACCATGTCATTAAGAAAGGTGTCAGAGCAGGCAAGGTGGACCACCTGATTAAGTTCACAGAAAAAGTGGGGGATTTCCACTCGTGTACAGAAGGACAACTTCAATGCCAACAAGCTATGTAGTGAGGAATACAAGACACACAGGATCCAGGATGCCAGAACCAGCTTTCCACAGAGCCAGGGGGTCATGATGACCGTGTAGTGCAGGGGGTGACAGATAGCCACGTATCGGTCATAGGCCATCACAGTCAGAAGGAAGTCATCTAATGCGCCAAAAACTAGGAAAAAGAACATCTGGGTGATGCAGCTTGCATAGGTGATGACCTTGCTCTGTGTCTGGATGTTCACCAGCATCTTTGGTATGATGGTGGAGGTGAGACAGATGTCTACGAAGGAAAGGTTGGAGAGAAAGAAGTACATGGGAGTGTGCAGGTGGGAGTCTGAGATGGTGGCCAGGATGATGAGCAGGTTCCCACACAAAGTGATTAGGTACATGGAGAGGAAAAGCCCAAATATGAGGAGCATCAATTCTGGTTCTTCTGAAAATCCCAGAAGAAGGAATTCTGAAATTTGTGTATCATTTACTAGTTCCATGGTGACTACCTGAAAAGAGGAAAATAAGATGACTAATTTCACAAGAACAAGTATTACTCACAAAATTGAAATCCCATAGCTAATACTTTTTAGTCCCAAAGTTAATTTCTATATTTTTGTATTGACCTAAACCATTTTAGGCTTTCATAGTGCCCTCTTGCCTTAGGACTTTCTATCTCACTTCTTTATTCACGTAGATCAAGTATTCCACAGAATTAGCTTACTTGTTTATTCACAAAAGATTTTTGTACACATTTATAGAATGTAACGTGATTTTTCAATTAGATTTTGTTTTTATTTTTGTCACAGTAAATGTGCACTCACTACATAAGCAGAGAAAGAGAGAGAGAGATTGCTTGCCAAACAGAATGACTATGCCACAATATCCTCTTCTTTCATGATACGGGCATGCACGTACACATGCCTGGCATCTTTTCCAAGCCAACAGGCCTTGGACTTGGCCTGTGCAGTCTGCCATGTTGGATTCAGTAGCCTCAACCACCATGCCACCAGCTTTCCCAATAACTGTAAATTTATATACATTGAAAAGCAACTCTCTTTTTCCCTTTCACCAATCCCCTGGCAACCAACATTCTGCTATCTGCTCCTATGATTTTGACTACTTCAGATATCTTAGTTAACTGGAATCACACAGTATTTTATTTCAAAGGTCTTCCATGGATCACAATAGATCTTTCCAAATTTTTATCTGTTGGTAAGTGCTAAAACATCTGTATTATAAGAGCACAATTTGTGGGACCAGCAGGTGTCACAGTGGCAGAGTCACAATTTAAAATTTAAGAGATCAGGTAAGCATGTTCTGAGTTCTGCTCAAGTTCTACAAGACACACACACATACATACACAAACACACACACATATTAATGCACACACCAAACGATGACCTGCTGGTGTCCTCAGCCATGTTGATTAGGAAGAGATGCATATGAGACCATTCTGCAAGATCAAATAATCTTTTCCCTAAAAAAATGTAGAAATGGTGCCTAAATTCCTGTTGCTAAGTTTTCCATAGACAAGTAAACATGAACTTTTATTTTAACATGATTGTTTCATAATTTTTAAATTTCATTTTATTATATTTTTATCATTCTTATAACTTTTTTTAAAACATTCAATCACTATACATCATTTGACTTAGAGTTCATAATTTTTTAAAAGACACAAAAATATCTATTCAATAAAATAAAGGGGACATTAATGTATTATTTTTTAAAAATATATAAAAAATAAAGAACACTCCGATACTAGAACAGAAAAACTTAATAATTTGCAAAGACATAAAAAGAAAATAGATCCACAAACATATTCAGCCTCACCAGCAAGAAAATTGTAAGTAAAAACTCTTTAATAATCCCATTTTGACCTCTGAATAATTTTTTTGTGTGAATTCCTGATGTACAAGAAGAAATTGTGAAATGGAAGTCTCATGAAATACTGTTGTAGGTATGAATTGCAAGCAATGCATTAATCTGATCCTTCAAAAAATACAGAAATATGCACAAATACATTCATTTCAAAAATTTAAGAGACCCGAAGTCATTGCATATCTCATCACGACTCTGATTCTATTTTCCCTACTTCTTGAACTGCAAATTTCTTAGACATTTTCTAATTTGACCAAAATCATTTATTTCTCCCATTCCATCTTCTCCTTCATCCAATTGAATGTCTATTCCCATCACTAAGTTGACCACAAAAATGTCTGCATTGCTAAGTCTGACAGACACATGGCTTCTTAACATAGTAAATAAATTACTGAGAAATAACTTGGTCTGAAAATAACCAAATGCATCAATCTCCCAGCTCTTGCTAGGCTGGTTTGGCTCTCAGTGGATCTCAGGTAGATGTCCTTGGCATCCTTTCTCTGTGAACCATTCCTGCAGTACCTACCAGGTTCTCAGACTCATCTGTGTGGAATTTAGAATAGGACAGTCTTCTTGTGGAAGGATGAATTTATCCCTGGATAGTTGATGATGGAGACTGAAGCACTGTCCCCAGACAACACACAATGAGAGAATTAAGCATGATCCCCTAGTCAGACTGGAGATTCCAAAAACTTTGAACTATGTCTTGTCCCACCTAAGGCTGTACTCCTTGAAGGACAATGATAGATGAAATATTTACAGCTCCTTATATCTGCTTATTAGGACCATTTCCTCCTTATAACCGCAACCTCTAAGTCCTTGATTTCCCTTGTGGATAATGGTCTGGAATAAAAATTTTCATGCTGATTTGCTGTTCTCAAGAGACCAAGTTGAAAATGTGATCAATCCAGTCTTTATTCCATGTTCTTTGTGAACTCTCTTGTCTCCAAAGGTCATTAACATCTTTCACCAATGTGAGGTAAAATTTATTTGTCATGTGTCAACAGGAAGTATGGAAGTTATGGTGCTGGATTAGACATAGCTGACTGCAGTTTGAGTCCTAGACTTAGTATGTTGAAAATCATGCTGGGCATATCTGCTTATTTGTCCAAAATCCTAAAGATTGTAGTGTGTAGTGTGGTCATGTCTCTAGGAAGTGATTTCTCAATTTCCCTTCCTCTTTTTCTCTGGGAAGTGCATTCAACCTATAGCAAAAGTTAGAAAAGAAAGAAGAAAGAAAGAAAGAAAGAAAGAAAGAAAGAAAGAAAGAAAGAAAGAAAGAAAGAGAGAAAGAAAGAAGAAAATGAAAAAAGTGACTGTCTTAATGTTATATTAGAGGTAACTTGGAGAAACTGAAAGGATATAAATGTTTTTACAGGAAATGTGTGACCCCGAAATATCAAATGACTGGGACAGAAAATCTATCTCTTTTGAGTCATCCTTTGATGAAAAATTTCAAAGAGAATCTTCAGTACAAATGAAACATATTGGATGATATAGCTATTTCTTCATTCACTCTCCCTTCAGCGGTTACAGCAAAATTTAAGAGGGGGGCATAAATCATTTTAAGCACTTCAAAGAGTTGTAATTACAGCCAATACTGAAGTATTCAAAGGGAAACAGGAAGATATTTAATGAAACAGCATAAAACACACCAGTCAATCCTTCACCCTAATGAATAAACACCCTTCCACATGGATACCAATTTTTTAATCCTTCAACAAGTAGATGAACAGGGTGAACAAGAAACAAGGTGCATGGTTAAAACAATATGCGATCAAAATGTTCACTTCATAGTATTTAAGGCTATCTCTGACTCTAAGGCCATATTTGTTCAACTATTTCTTTAGATTTGACTTTCCATGTACAAATCATGTCGCCTCAGGTAACTGATAAATTTTTTTTATTCAAAACAGAATGTGCTGGTGCACATGAGGAGAGAGAGAACAAGAGGGAAACAGACAGAAGCAGACATAAAGAGAAAGAAGCACCCTCTGCAGGACATGGGCAAGCTGACTCCCTTACTCCAGTCCTCCAGTCCTGTGGATTCTGGCCACACACCCATCCAGTAAAATTTCAGGCTGACTAGACTTGGGACTTGAACCAGAGTCCACTCTTGGCTTCTAGCTCTGTACTCTGGTATGCTACTTCTGCACCACAGAGTCTGGGCCTGATCATCAACTTTTTAAAAATTAATTAATTAATTATTTTTTTAATATACATTAAATCACACTTTTGACAGTCATTACAGTAGGCAATGTGAACTCTGAGCTGAGTAACAGAATAGGGTCTTAATGAGCAAATGACAGATAATCAAACACACCAATATATTAAAATCTACATTTCAGACAGAAATACTAGAAGCAAGAACATACACACACATGAAAATCTGAAGTTTCAGATTTTTATATACTCCATATTAACAGCATTAATTTCCAAATGAAATGTGTTTTTCTTTTTGTTTTCTATTTTTTTTCTTGCTGTTCTCTTTTATTCTTTTTTTGTTGTTTGAGAGTTTTTTGCTATAGGGCACGTGCGCTCGCCAGCCAGACAGAGAGAGACAGAGAGACAGAAAGCAAGAAATCACCCCCCTGGAGGATGGCCATGCCGCAATCCCTTCTCCATTCTCCTCTCAGGATCTTGGGCATTCATGCACACGCACCTGGCGAGTTTTAAGCCACCGGGTCCATGATGTGAACTGCAGTCGACTACATGGGAGTCCAGTGACATAGCCATTATGCTAACTGCTGGTCCCCTCTTGTTGCTCTCTTTTCCATAGGCAGAATAAAACCCCAGGAAGTTATTTTAGTAGCATACAAAAATTGCTCAGAATTATGTACATCATATGAGAGTAAATTATTTTTAAGAGTTGCATATAGAGAGACAAAAGATAGCATGACGGTTAAGAAACTGGCCTCCATGGAATATTATTCAGCCATAAAAGCCAACAAAACCCTGGCTTTTGACAGAAAGTGGAAGAATATGGAAGATTTACTGCTGAGTGAAGCAAGCCAGGATATGAATGAGAGACATTGTATGTCCCCACTTAATATATACCAAGTGTATATCAAAATATCTTCAACTGATAACACCACACCTCCCATCCCGTCAATGCTCTGCCTCCATATCCCTCCTCCAAATATGCTTTTTTAAGCCCCACTACTCCACACACATCTCATCTGGCATTCACCCCCATCTCTTGTGTTTGTACAACCTTAGGTCAATCAGTTTAAGTCATCGAGTCCAGGACTCGAACCACAGTCGACTACATGGGAGTCCAGCGACATAGTCATTATACCAACTGCTGGTCCCACGAGAGTTGCTTATCATTCTATGAGATAATGATTCTTTCAAAGGCTAAGAATCATGATACTGATACACCTCTAGAAATAACAACACTGAGAAAGTATAAAGATATTAAAGAAAAATTAGCTGGATATGAGAGAGTGTAGAAAGTTAAATACAGAATTATTTCAATTGTATAGACATGTAGTTTCACAATCTGATCAGAGAATCACAACGGTTTGCTTTAAGGCTTTAAACTTTGCAATTATGGGCATTTTTTCAGCTGCAGGACCATAATTTTTTCACAATTTCCCACCAAAGACTATTTTGA